TCCCTTCGATGAGGACTTGGGGTATTACCGGTCCTCTTCCTTGGATCACTAGGAGGCCGATTAGGCCTATGGGAATCTCCAAACGGAGATCGTCTCCTGACGGGAGGACCAGGAGCACCAGGTTTCTGGGCTCTGTCCCTGGACTGAGATCGTTCGTAAAAGTCTTTGTGCATATTGACCTGATTCTTACGAACCCTCCAGCGGTCAATTTCGTTCTTACAACGAGCACGAAGCCATTCATAGCTACAAACATCAGGGTTGGATATGTTCCTATCCCATTCCCTGATATCATGAGCCAAACAGTTGAGGTGTCTAACCTTCTCACTGAATAGCGACCGCTTTACCTGCTCGGTCAGCGGTTCATCGAGACCCGCAAGGATGTGATCCCACTTCGCGATGAACCTTTCAAGTCGCTCCTCTTCAGTATAGAAAGATGAAACACTGCATCGCAAGTTTGAGAGCTCAATTATCCTGAATGATTGCTCTCCGATATTTGCAGTCCTTAAGTGGTCGTATAAGAGCCACAGGATCTGCCTACTCTTGATGCGATTGTTGGAGCGTTGAGCGGCTTCGGTGAGACGATTAATCTTATCGATAATTGCAACAGTCTTGATGCACTTCCGAATGGCTGCATTGAACCTGGCTTCAAGGATGTGGTATTTACATTCCCCATCCAGTTCATCAAAGGTCTTTGCCTTCTCGACTTCAGTTAGCCAATTGATGACGTAAAGTCCATCATAGCTGTAGGCATTGCTAACAGCTTCCTTCATATTGGCTATCCATACCCTCAGCCCAGCCGCATCGGGCTCTGGCGGGAGCACTTGGTCGCAGCTGTACAGTTCGGATCATGGTGGCTACTGTACCCGCCGCCACCAGTTCCGAAAAGATGCTGTGGAACCTGAGAACTACCGATTGACAATGCACATACAGGACAAAGGCGAGTAGCCTTCGGAATGCAAATCTCACATGCCCTCTTCATGCATATCTTACATTCCCCAATTTTGCTGGGGTCAGGAATATCCCGATCACACATCCGACAGTTCTTGTCAGGAGGATCGGGGCCACGCATGGTCGGCGGCTCAAGGCCTGAAGGATCCTTCGGCCTTGTACCGTTGGGATCAAATCCTGGATAATATCCGGTTTCACGTTTATCCAGGGGCACGGGTTGCGTAGCCTTCGGAGGGCTCTGAAGGTCAGCCGCGTTGGGTTGACCCCCAGTTGGAGTGTCACGGAATCTGTCAACGGGTGGCCGCAGAGGCGGCGAGTACGACCGCGTCGGGTTCGTCTCAGGTACGCCTCCAGGCGATCTATTCCTGACACGGTTACCATCGGGATCCCTTCTTCTCCTAGTTTCGTCCCTAAGGCACGCAAGACAACAGGGACCCTGGACAAATCCAAATCTCCTGTAGTCATCCTGCCCAGCAGAATGTCTGGTGCAGTAGTAGGTCTTACAAAACTGACACTCAATTCCCTTTGTCAGGAACGAGCTCTCCCTACAGACTCCGCATCGGGGTCCGTTACGGGAACATTCTTCACACAGGTTCTCTTTAAACGAGAAACAATACTCACAAATATCACCTCTGCATCCCTTGCAGTGAAACTCAGCCATGAGATGATTATATCCATCACCTACATATTTACATCTGGGTTTACCAGGGTCGCCAGGGTTCCCACCGGCGGCACTCTTCTTCCCCCCTCCTCCTGGGCTTTGCCAATCTGGAGGAGGAGGTGGTGGAGGATCATCATCAGGAGGGCCAGGTGGAGGTGGCCGCTTATCCGGAGTACGGGATGCGGCACGCCTTCCTCCTGTGTGATCGTTCAATCCACTACTTGAGGCCTGGTTCGAGTGCCTTGACTCTAGGGAGTTAATTCTCTGGGCCGTATTACCCAGCACCTCGAGCATTTGCTTACTGTTGAGCGTAGTCGAAACGGCCATGTTATGAGTATTTTGCTTGTCCGTGTAGGATTTGCAGTCCCTTGACTTTATCTCAAGGTTGGCTTGTGTCTCATAAAGTTGGTCTTTAACCCGCTTTATGCCGTCCCTATCATTGGTCCAGCGTTGTTCGACATCTTGCATCATCCTATCAATCTTACATACCCTAGTGGACAGGTCCTCGATTTTGAGGTTTACTCCACCAATCGCAGGATGGTTGGATTGGCTCTCCACTAGAGATCTCTCGATCATATCAACACGAGCTATAAGCCCGGTTACTCGATCAGAAAGAGATTCAAAAACAGTTTGAACCTGTATAATGGAGCGAGCAACATCATCATAGCTGGCTCGCTCATTTAGGGCATCGCCTATGCTTATCATGCGATTGGAAACGATCTTGACGCGTTGGCCAAGCTCGGCCACGATGTCCTTAGTCCCTTGTGACAGCTGCATGGCCGCGTTTGCAGCCTGCGTACACGTGCTACTCACATGGACGCATTGGTCGTATTTGGCCCTCCACGAGTTAACCTCAGTGGAGAGCTGCTTGATGCATTGATCACTTCTATCATTCCTACGCCCAAGGTCTTCGACCTTAGCAACCAGGCGATGAATGATCGCACTTACCGAAGAGTCCACTCTCCCTCTTTCAAGGGCTGTTACAAGCTCAGCAACCTCGTTGGGTTGCTCCTCACTCGTAGGACCAAATCCTGATCCGCGATCTCGAGGAGTGGACAAATCAACCATGATTGGATTAGATCTCGGAGGAGTTCTGAAATCCTGCACGGCCGTTGATGGCCGTGGGAACCCACTCCGATTAGGAGATTGACTCTGATACGGAGCAGATCTCCTAGCATCACGAACCGCAGAGGGTTGTGCCATGCCCAGGCCTTTGGCCACGGACAGTTTAGGAACAACAGGCCCGCATAGGAACATCAGGTCTCGAGTCAGCAATAACAATGTCATTCAAGTCGGTCGCATTGGACACTCTAGACTCAGACATCGATTCAATATCAGTCGCATTACTGATGGTATGATTGCGACTAGAACTTGATGCCATCATGGACTCAGATTCTATCGGAACATTAGCTCCGTCCATGTTGTCCAGAGCGAAAATGGAAGCCGCGTTGGGCGTAGGGCGAACACCTTGCGCGTTCAAGCCACTCGACCTATTAAATTCCTCCTGGAATGCTTCGATCCCATCAAGCATGTTAACGAGTGTGTCCGCGTTTAACGGGTCTCTACCAATGATCGACGCTGGATCACCTGATCGACCGCGTCCTGAGTCCCGCGTATTGGGGTTACCCCTGTGGGCAGTTTCCCGATCCATCCCCCTTGCCCTATGCGATCCAGTCGAATTTGACCTTGATCGTTTGCTTGGGGTTGGACTGGGATGCAAATCCAATCTATCTACGATATTACGCTCCCTAGGGCTCTCAAATCCTGAAAGTCCTGGGGGAGGGGACATGTTCCTCATGGTCGGGTTTACCGACGGCCTTGGCCTGACGTTACGGCTGGCCACGTCAGGATTGAGATTCTCAATCGACAAAGGTAGCATGAATTCATCGCTTCCAGCAGCCCGTTTTGGGCTTTGGAATTGCGGGAAAGATGACGGGGCGGGTGGCCCTGGCATCCATGCGGCAAAATCCATACCAAAAATGTTTCCGTCGTTGGGCCATGAGGCTCTCCAATCGAGCCCACCGGATTCGGTCGGCAGATGAACATCAAATGCAACTCCACTGGATGTACCAGGTTCGGGATTACCGAGCACTTGAAAAGCTATGCTACTGGTTGGCACAGGTCTACTGCTGCCTCGGGAGTCACGAATTTCGGACTGACCAATATTCATCAGCTCGGGGAAAGATGAGGATTGAGCTCCAGGTGCAATACCGGGCTCGTCATCATCACGTCCTGAGACGGAATCATCATGGCCAGGACGATTAGACCCATGACCCTGAGAGCGATTAGCTCTTGAGGCATAAGACGATAGATCATCAGTGCGAGTAGCACTGGATCTTTCTGAAGGCATTGCTTCTGAAAAAGAGTGGTCCGACAAAAAGTCAGGACCGGAAAACATCGGCTGTCCGGGCACTTGGTCGTCATTCACAACGTCCAAGATTCCGGCCTGGCCGAGAACCCATTCGTCGGTCACCACATGAGGTCCGTCCTCAGTGATTCCCGCCATGACGCCTACAGAGACCTACGGTACCTGCAGGGTTATTATTAAAAGGGGTTCGCGGTGCCAACCGAGGACGAATCCTACGGCTGATAACCTGCGAAAGGGTTTGAAACAGAGTTTCGGGAGAGAATAAACAGGCCCAATCCCACCAACAAGAAGAGATTGTTTAAGTCCCCCAGTCCCAAGGGCAAAGCGGTGCCCTCGGCTGGCCAAACACGAACCAAAACAGGGTGCCAGTTGTAACAAGGTAAAGAAGCCCAGCAAGGGCAGAGACAACCGAAAGCAAGCACAAAGCAGCAAACCAAGCAGGCAAACACAGCAGCGCAGCGAGCAAGCAAAGCAAACCAAATGCGCACCGTTCCCAACCCCAAGTCCTGACCAACCACCAGCACCAACGACACCGACCAACGGAGGGCCGCTGCACCTTTTGCAGCGGAGCTCCAGGTCGCCGTGTAGCGGCGCCGACGTAATTGCAGGTGGAACTGCCGGAACGAAAAGCTTGAGCCAAACGGCGCATTGGCCGTGGCGTTGAAACATGTTGCGATAAAACTACATGCCCCCAAAAACACCTTCCGAAAAACCACAAATGACTTCGGGATTTCGAAATCCACTTCCCTCGCCCTGCTCCACAATTTCTCCCATTCGCGTACTTTGCCTCTCCAAAGCCTTTTGTGCGACCCTTCCCTATTTAACCCTCCATCCTTCTTCTTCACCCTCCCTTTCAATCAACCCCTTTGATTCAACCTGGATCCTCAACCCAACAAAAATGGGATATTGGATATTACCCCCAAAAAAAACGTTGAAAAAAGAAAAGAACAAAAACAACTCAAACTACCCAAAAAGAAGGGATATTTCGTCGTCCTCCCCCCCACCCACCCCCAAAGCCCCCCCCTAATTTCTGCTGCCGGATGTGTGTCGCGCCTTGGTGCCGACACATTTGGAGGGCAAGGCGCTGGCCCGCTTGAAGGACGGCAGGTCCACGCCCCGGTTCTGCAGGTCCGTCACCGCGTTCTTCAGCGCCTCCTGGTTTGGGCCAGCGAACAGAGTCGTCGGCATGGGTCCCGGGCTGGGAAGGGGTGGGTCGAAATGAAACCAGACTGCAGGTTTCTGGGCTCCATTAGGGTTCCAGTTCGGGTACCTGTTCTTTGCGACCAGCCATGAGATTTTCAGGGGTGCTGAGGGCAGGTTGACCCAAAAGCAGGCCTAGGCCTCAGGCTGGGCAACGTGTTTGGGAGAAGCTGTAGGGGTCAGATCAGATCCAACAGCCTGTGTTTCGCTTGGAGAACTGTGGCCCTAAGGGCCTTCAAGACCGTCCTCTGGAAATCAGAGCCATGCCGAAAGTCGAAAACCTGCGATAAGAATCGGGGAAAACCACCGGTTGGCATTTCCCCAAAAGGGCTTCCTAAGGCATGGGCATGGCGAGCCTGGGACTTGGGAACGGGACCCGACATGACTTTCGGTGTGAAGCCCTCAAAGGTGTGCGAAGCCAACGCCTCAAAATCATTCAGATTTCCACCCAACCAATTCGCATCAACTGGTACACTGAGCACACCATGGGACTGGGAGGGGCTGATCGTCCTCTAAACCTCTGAGGGAGAGAGAGCTCCTTGCCCAAGGTTCCAGGCGAGATCCGAACCGCGTGCCTGCGGTTCTCTTTCTGTTCATTCCCGGCACCCCTCTGGTCCCATGATATGGCTGTGGGTCAAAACCCAAATCGTACCCTCAGTGAACATCCCAATCCAACCACTAAAATAGGTTCTAAAATGGGTGGTGAATTCCCCTACCCCAAAATGGGATCCCATTGGTTTTGACAACCACAGCCATATACTGCCAAAGCGTTTCTCACCTGAGAAACGGCCCATCCAGTGGGAGGCGGGCCCCCTACATCCCCGAGTCGAGTGAGACCGCCATTTCAACGGCAGAGGCCTCCGAATTCTGAAACTTGCCTGACACACGCCCGCTGGGCGTTTTTCCTTCCCGCGCGCAAAAGACCGGTGTTATGCGGAGGCTTGCATCAACCTAGTGAATTCATTTGGGCTCAAGAGTGATCCGGCTGAGGTTCCGCTGGGCTCCAGGGGTGCCACACATCGATTTGGACCCCCAAAATTATCCTCCGGGCTCACCCGTCAACGTGGGCTCCAAGAAGCTTTCGGGTCCTTTGCCGCGTTCTGGGGCCTTGATGAGAAACCATGGGGCGTGTGACAAAGCCATGGGCGTGTGACATGGTTCGGCGCTGTGGGCATGGGTTTTGGTGTGAAGCGCGAGTTTTTGTTTCGGAGACTAGAATGAGGATGGCAAGCAATAGAGCAGGCCAGCCATTGCAAGCGAAATCATTTGGGTTGGTTGACTTGTAACCAGAGGTACAATGGTATGTCTCAAAAGAAGGAACCTCCGAATTGGGTGGTGTCCTCTTGGTGTCCCCTTCAACCCACCTGCAACAACACACCCACACCTTTTTGTGCTCATTGTCTACAAAGCCGTAAGCTCCCACTTGCTCCTGACTGGTCGCCTCCACTCTCAAAGTGAAGCTTTTCGTCCCAGGCAACACCTGCGCTGTCAGACCTCCCGACAATTTGTGGGGGGAAGTCCATCAAAACAGTATCAAGGGCTGCAAATCGAAAACCCCAACATACAATGCTCGGAGCGGGTGAAAATGCCTCAAATTTGTCCCCCTACTGTGGATGAACGACACCTTGCACCACTTTGAAACCATGGTTGAAATCAGTGTTTGTTGCTATTTGCAGGGAAATCGAATCATTCCAGGGTTTCTAAACGGTGGGGCGAAAAGGAACTCGCAACCATCCATAGTACATCCATCCTGCGGGAAACCCGTAGCAAGACGTCTTTTGGCCACGAAGCCGTGGCGGGGGTGATTTCAAGTCGAAACAAAATTTCAAGTCGGAAACCACACCAGGGAAAACGAGTAAGGAAAGCCAAGTTTCTGGAGAAATCAAGTGGTCTGGCGATCCCTACCAAGCAAAGGATGCCCGGTTCAACCCCTTCCTACGCTCAATGCCCACCTGCTGTAGTTAACACAGGTGGGGACCTCCTTTTGGTAGACCTGGTTGGTTCATATCCTGTTTGAAAAAGCAGTTCGGGCCTCCCTCCCACCCGCGGTTGGCAGACCCCAAAAAAAGTTTGGGATGTGTCCTAGGCGAGGTGGTTTTTCCCAGTGTCAGTGAGTAGCTCGGATTTGTACTTGGTTATGACATACTTGAATGTTCCAGCTTTGTGCTCACAGGGTGTCCATACCAGCTGGGTGCTGTATTGTTGCGAAGCCTTCCCTGTCACCTTATGTTAAAATCCATCAAACCTTTTTCTATCCGGCAAGGAAGTGCTGTGGACCCTCCCATCAAGAAGCCGAGAGCAACTTGGGCTTGCGTTTTGGACTTTTTGGGGGGTTAGTTTGAAGGGAAACCAACAGGACAACCCACCATCATTGAAAGTCCAAAGTTCAAATTTTGACCAACCCAAGGTGCCCCCCCACCCCCGCAAAGAAAGAGTTCAGGGCGATTCCCCACAAACACATACTTCCAACTGCCCGACCCCGCATATTCTCGCGTTTTCGCGGGGCATCGACACCTCCACGCACTTGGCCGGGGAGAGCTTCTGCGAGCACTCCGACAAGAAGGTGGCCTTCTCACTGCCCACCACCGTCACGTAGTTGCCTTTAACGCCGCGAAAAGGCGCAGCCGATGTTTTGGATTTGGTTGGCATGTGGGGAATTCTGTGCTTGGCGCGGTTGAAGGGAATCCTGAACTTTTAGGATACCCTGTGAGAAACCCGCGACGTTGTTTGGCGAGTTCTCAAAAGTGGAATCGTGGGGGAGTGAACCCTTCGGGATCAAGGGCCCAGGAAAGTTGTTCTTGAAATTTCTTTGGGGTCAAGTTGAGTCTAGCAACTTGCTGCTTCGATACAAGGGTAGCATTTCGCCCCCAGACAAGAGACACGCAGCAAAACATGTGTTCAGATTCTGCTCCATATTTCTCCGACCAAATGTATACATTGTTTTGGCGAGGACCCCGGAAAAAGTCAGATGGCAACCCGAAACCGCCGGAAAGGACTCCGCAGATCTCGAGAGGCTCGCAACTCAAACATCGAGATCCGGACCTCCCATGGCTTCGACCAAAATGGCCGGCGCCCGAGTTCTATGGTGCCTGTTTGTCCTCGAAATGGGGGACCCCCAAAAAAGAAATCTGAAAAGCAGAGAAATAAGGCCCAAAAAAGAACACGGAGAAAAAGAGAAAGGACAAACCGGAATACCCAGATTTCAACCTGTTGATGTTTCTTCAGACCCACCCAATCTCCTCAAACCTCAAGGGGTTCACAAAAATGAACGGGTCTCGAAAAAACACCAAAAAAAAGAAGAAATAGAAAGAAAATGAACAAAGTGGAAAAAAGAAGAAGAAGAAGAAGGGAAAAAAAACGCGCGCTCCGAGCCAAATCGCCGGCCATCTGCAGGTCGCTCCCCGCAAAGACCTGCTCGCTGCCCGGCACCGCCACGGAGACCCACACGCTCCTCGCGGAAAAAAAGTAAAATGGGGCGCCCGGAAAGCAGCCACCGTAGAAATGGCCGTGGGTGTCAAAATTAGGTGCCCAAAATGGCTTGCCCTGGCAAATATAGCCCAGGACTAAAACCTGCGCTCTGCTGGTGGTTTGATTTTGACCCATACCCAAATGATCCCCTGAGGAACATCGCCCAAACCAGGACCCCGGAGAGAAAAAAAGGGAACTGTTCATCAACCCGCATTTGGAGCACCTGGAAATCGGAGACTCCACAAATTAGCGAACACCCAACAAAGTCCGATCCTGAAAATGGGCGGATTTTGGGGTTCCAGTGTAGAGGAGCAAGCTTTTGAGACCTTGACCCGAACTCAACCAGAGCTTGGAAAACCAGGGCAAAACGTGTCAAAAGCTCCGTGTTGGGCAACCGAGGCTCTTGTGGGTCATGCTGTTCGCGCTGCAGGTGCCAGCTCCAGATGCAAAGTAGTTGGTCCAGCCTGCTCCCATCTCGGTGGGTGTTGATTGACCGGCCAGGCCGATGCCAATGGCCGCATCCGCATCGTTGCTATCATCGTTCTGGCATCCCTGGCTGGCGCAGTTCAGGCAAAATCCCCAGCGAGCCTTGTTCCCATCATTGCACTGGATGTTGAAGCCGGGTCTCTGCATGGGACAGTTCTGGTATGAATCCGCAGTTGGGCCAAACGTCTTCAAGATGCCATCCCGATCCACGGCAGTGTCACGGATGTAGCCGGACGTGAAAAGCTCCTTGGCGCTCTTGTACTCCTTGCCAAAGGTGTGAGTGACGCAGCCTCGCAGGCGCGCTGGCGCTGATCGAAGTGCAGCTGAACTTCGGTTTCAGCAACAGCAACACCAGCAAAAGCGGAACTGCAACAGACTCACCAACAGCACCGCTCCCAACACCGCCAACACCCACGCCGACAACAACAATACCAACAACACCAACAAGACCAACCACGCAAACTCTAAACACACCACTAACCAATAAACAACCAAAATGCGGATTAGCCAAAACACAAAAAGTATCATCATTACCATCATCGTCGTCGTCGTCGTCGTCATCGTCATCATCATCATCATCATCATCATCATCATCATCATCATCATCATCATCATCATCCTCATCATCATCATCGCTAACAATAACATCGAAACACATCAGAAAGCAAGCAAGTGAGCAACCGCACAACAGCCACCATCAATACTACAACTGCTGCTCCTGCAACAGCTACCGCTACCTGTACCACTACATTCACCATCACCGTCACCACCACCACCACCACCACCACCACGGCTACGCGTGAGGTAACAATGAATTTCCCGAATGGTTTCGTGACCGGCGATTGTATGCTCCAGCAACCAGCAATCTAGGTGTCATGTTGAGTCCTGGAGTTGGCATGTCCTGCAAGACGGTCGTAAGTGAGCCGGATTGACTTTTTCAAGCCAGACGGCCCCAACTGAAAGTAAGGTTCTTGTGCTACTGCTTGCTGCTGCTCCTGCTCCTGCTACTACTACTACTACTACTACTACTACTACTACTGCTACTACTGCTGCTACTTGTACTTGTATTTGTACTTGTACTAGTACTAGTACGCAGTACTACTACTACTACTACTACTACTACTACTACTACTACTACTACTACTACTACTACTACTACTACTACTACTACTACTACTACTACTACTACTACTATTACTACTACTACTACTACTACTACTACTACTACTACTACTACTACTACTACTACTACTCCTGCTGCTGCTACTACTACTACTACTACGACGGCGACTACTACGACGACTACTACTACGACGACTACTACTACGACGACTACTCTGCTGCTACTACTACTACTACTACTACCACTACTACTACTACTACTACTACTACTACTACTACTACTACTACTACTACTACTACTGCTGCTACTGCTACTGCTACTGCTACTGCTACTGCTACTGCTACTGCTACTGCTACTGCTACTGCTACTACTACTTCTTCTACTACTGCTGCTGCTGCTGCTGCTGCTGCTGCTGCTGCTGCTATTGCCACTACTTGGTGCTGGAGCACAGGAGACATAAACAGGAAAAGAACCCGACCACAAAAAGGAGAACACGTAGCAACGAAAACACGGTAACGCAACTGGAAGAATCGCTCAAGAATTGGAAACATGGAGAAACTGGAAAGCCTGAGCGATAGAAACAGCAGGTACAAATTGGACATTCCCGTAGATGGTAGAATTGCATACATAGTCCTTTCCATTTTCGCCTCCGGCCTGAGTCGGGGCTGCCCACGCACATGCGGATCGTCTTGAAGGCTTGCGACAAGTAGCTGGAGTACTTACCATCACCCTCCACAGTGACATCGGTGTTCTCGTTGAGCAATTGGTCATTCTCCCAGTACGCAGAGCTGAATCCCAGCGTCGTGGTCTTTCCAATCTTCATGACGGTGGACCAAGTATGCTGGGTGCGTGTGAAAGGCTTTGAGGCCAGCACATTGCTCAGAACAAACACCCACACACTCTTGTGGGTCATGCTGTTCGCGCTGCAAGTGCCAGCTCCAGATGCAAAGTAGTTGGTCCAGCCTGCTCCCATCTCGGTGGGTGTTGATTGACCAGCCAGTCCAATGCCAATGGCCGCATCCGCATCGTTGCTATCATCGTTCTGGCATCCCTGGCTGGCGCAGTTCAGGCAAAATCCCCAGCGAGCCTTGTTCCCATCATTGCACTGGATGTTGAAGCCGGGTCTCTGCATGGGACAGTCCTGGACAGGGAGTTTCGACAGAAAGGGTGGCAAGTGACTTTCTCAGGGGGAATGAAAATCAAGGCGGAAAGTAATGCAAGTAGGGGGGAAAAGCTATGCAAAGGATGAACAAAAAACGATCCGCAAGGTGAGTCCTGGTACGATCCTGCCGTTGGGCCAAAGATTTTCAAGATGCCATCGCGATCCACGGTGGAGTCGCGGATGTAGCCAGAAGTGAAGAGCTCCTCGTTTGGGTTTGAGCGGGGCCTGACATCCTTTTGGTCTCGCAAAGGCACCAACATGGTGGTGTCATTTGTTTGAGGGAAGCCCTTTTTGCGGTCTGAGATGGACACCAAAAAGGAGAACCGGTTTGCCATTTTGGTGGCCCCTCAACAGACATACCCACATTCAGTTCCAAGCTGTTTCAACCTGCTGGCTCCCCTAACCTTTCAGATCGCAACCTCCGTTGGGCTTCCCTGCAGGCAGCCTCCTTTTGGCTCCGGCGCAACGTCCAAATCGAGCGGCTCCCCTGGAGAAAAAAAGACTGGGATCCAAAATCGGGTGAACCGTTGTTTTTTGCCCGCGGAAACCGTCCTTGGCGCTCTGGTACTCCTTCTCGAAAGTGTGCGTGACGCAGTTGGTATCCGGCTGCCCCACACACATTTTGATCCTTTGCCAAGTGCACGGGTTGAACCCCCAAAAAATGGCTTGTTTTTGGCGGCCCCTTTAAACCAAACCCAACAAGGGTACACCAAAAAGGAGACATACCCATGTACTTATGTTCTCCAAATAAGAGCCCAGATCCGGGCCTTTCCGGGTTCCAGAGTCGTTTCTTGCGGGTTGCTGTTGGGGTCGCACCTGGGCTGATTTTGTTCTCAAAAGTAGGGGGACCCTCAGTTCTAAATGTGCCGCGTGGGCTTTCCTAGCAACGGACCACATGGATCCTCTATGATCGACCCAAACTCTAGTATCTTAAGGGAAGCCCCAAAGCAGGCAACAGGGAGCTTTCTCATGGGTGTGTCGTTTTTGGAGGGTATCCTTTTTGGGAGTTTTAAAGGAAACAAAACGGAAGTATTGGCTCGAGGCGTGAAATCAAAATTGATATCTCTTTTGGAAAACCGAGGAGAAAGCTTTCGCAAGCAGCTTGGCCTTTGCAGGACAAATGTACACATGGAACCCCTTGGCGTGGTCGCCGCCTCCCTTTCGCTTTTTGTTTGTCGTTCTTTCACGTCTTTCTTTCATTTTTTTCTTTCATTTCTTTCTGTATTTGTCCTTTTCTTTTTCTTTCCGGGGGGGAGGGGTGGGGTGCTGGCGCGCTAACTATGGTTTGCACTCTTTCCCGCGCGCGCTCGCCTTCGAGGTGCTCATCGGCACGCTCTCCTCCTTGGTTTCCCTTAGTGAGACGCGGCTGGTGGGGGCAGGCCAGCTGGCAGTCTTGACTGCCCCTCCCGTTTCTTTCATTTTGTTTTTCATTTCTTTCTTTCTTTGGTTTTTGTTGTTCTTGTTTTTTTCGTTCCCCCGTTTCTGTGTCACCTTGTTCTTGCCTTGTTGTTGTCTCAGTGCTCGATCGCCAGCACGCCCACCCCCCAAGAAAAATAAATATAAATAAAATAAGGGCGAGCACGCCCAAAGTGCGCAAAACACAAAGGTGAGCGCGCCCGAACCTCATTACTCATCCCCCGAAATAGGCAAAAAAAAAGCGGCAAAAAAGTACAGGAAGCAAAACACAGAAAGACGAAAGGAGACAAACAAAAACGGCGGGGGCAAGAAATGGAAGGCGTGCTCGCCTCCTCCTTTTTCCCATTGCGTGCCCCTGGCTGGTCGCCTGCGATTGCCGCGAGCCTTCGACCCTCCCACCCAGGAGGTTGGAAACAGGGGTCCACATGGGCCCCAATCAAGAGGCCCTGTGGCTCTATCCTGATGCAGGTCGAAGACGACCAAATATGCAAATATACATACAAGGCAGTGCTTGCTTTCCAAATGGAAATCAAATGCAACATGGAACCAAACGCAAACGCAAGTGGCCACAAATACAGCAAGCGGTGATGGCTGGTTAGCTGTTGCGGATTGCGCATCATCGCTCATGAGTCATAAGTGTAACACACACACACACAAAACAAGAAGTCCTTGAGGCAATGACGTTTACGGAGCACGGGGCACACCAGTCTGAACTCCACGATCCACGACGAGACGCGGAGGGATTCAGGACAAAGACCCTTCCCCCCCCTCGCGACTGGCGTGGGCCGCTTGGGCCGAAGGTCTGTTTGAAGGACATCGTCAGGTAGCCGCCGTACTTGGCGTCCACCTCAATGGGTGGAATCCGCTTCTGCCTTTACCCCCCAACAACGTCATGGCTGACGTTTTGGGGCCCTCCAACTGGAAACTGATGCCACAGCTGCTACGTTAGTGACACCTGGAAAGGGGGAGGAATATTGGTCGCCCTGTTTTGCGGCTGCGCTTTTGCGTGGCCTCGCCCTTGGGACCTCGACCGGAGCCGCAAAATCGCCCGCCTCCTCCGTCAGCGGGGAGGCGGCGTTTAGTAGGTCATCGTTGGACCAGTAGGCGGAGCTGAAGCCTAGGGTGGTGGTCTGGGCGATCTTCAGCACGGGCTCCCACTCCCCGCTCTCCACTTTGGTCACCTTCAGAGCCTGAAAAGAAGAAAAAAACGAGAGACAGCGGCTTCGGAAGGCGCGGTCGGTTTTTTTGGTGCGAAAACTCGACTCTTCCCCCAGCTGAACGTGAGAAGGGGTCGATATTTTTCCAGATGCGCGCGGTATGAGGCGGTGTTCCAGGGGCACCTATTTCCTATCGGAACTGAAGAAAAAAGGAGCCTGGAAAGGTCATCAGAGCTGGGCATGTGCGCTGTTCTTATGTCGCCTCTCGCCTCACCCGAGAGGCCGTCGAGTCTTGGCACTGTACTAGTTCAGATCTGAGAAGCAAGTTACTTCTAGACAGCCACATGAGTCAGAATCAAAACCCGGGATTAAAATGGTTGAACCAGAACCATGTAAGGAAATACGACGGCGGCCGCAACTATTTATGGCTGGGATTGTCCCTTACTAACCTTCATCTACCCGGGTTTTGATTGTGGCTCACATGAGCGCTCACAGTAGTCCTGCGCCTTTCTCTGTCCTGTCAAACTAGAGATTTGGACCTCCAAAATGGGGGGCTTCCTTTTCATGGAAATCCCATGGGTATGTAACAAGCATGGCTTCAAGGTTCCGTTTAAGCCGCCGTGAAAGAAGGCGCCTTAGTAACAACAAACACACACACACACACACTTAAACTCCAGATGGAGGGTGCTAATCTTTCGAGTACAACTGATGAGTCTCGAGTACAACTGATGTGCAAGTCACTTGGCTTCTCTCTAGAGGCGAAAACGTTACCCGAAAGAACAAGAAGCACAAACAGCGCCGCAACCAAGGGGGCCAAAAAGACTTTCAGAATCACTGAAGCAGGTACAGGTGTCCACGTCTGGACACCCTTCCCACCTTTGGCAATAGCTTCATTGCGTGCAGTATGCCAAAGGTGCTGCACGCCCCTGCTGCACATGGTGGTGACAGGGCATTCTGTCACTCCGCACACACACGCCCCTCAATGAGGGGCGAGAAGTCTCTTTTTCGGCAGGAAGATCACATGCTCAACTTTGTGTCCCTATCGTTTACCAAAATATCCACCGCGGCGAGGGGAACGCGAAACAGCCCTAAGCCGCTCAGAAGACGGGAACGAAAGATCACCACGATGAGCATTACGAGTGTCGCCATAGAAGACTGAAGAGAATTGCAAAGCAGTCGAGCGATCACCGTCAGAAATAGGGGTAGCATAGGTGAACATTTCCTCGACTGGGATTGCATCGGAATTCTGCACATCAACAAGTGATTGATCACGGGCATAATGTGTAGAGAAGGACTCCCTGCGAGACAGAATGCGTTGGTATCCTTGATGCTGCCAGTCGCGAATGGTCCACGCCTGACTGTGTTCACCAGTCCCACCACTGGGATCAGTTACCCGCTTCCACTCCCGAAAAGAGTTGTCTGGTAGATCAGGTACGGTTTCTCCTGGTTGCCATGGCTGAGGCTGTCCTGGAGTATAGACCCGCACCCACTCCTGATCCTGCCAGACCGAGTTTTTTCGAGCCATGGGTACTGCTTCGCCTCCTCGATGTCCATGCCGAAGTGAGAGACAGGGCGTACCACGGGTTCAGATCCAGCTAGTAAAGAAACAGTCGCCATGCACAATCATGCACAATCAGCAACCAAGCAAGGCAGCACAAGCATGAAAACCACCCTTTTTTGTACCATGCCCAACACGCATCAGTCTAGCCAACAGAAAGGTCGAAGATAGGCTTCACCTTGGCGGTGGCGCTGCATGATGGGGTCGTAGGCCGGTATGGATCAGAGACTCCAATAGACTCTGGTGGTGCAACTCCACGAGATGCACGTACTGGTTGGTGTTGTTGGGATGCATGACGTGCGCGATCCGACAGTTGTTGAGAGATCGCATCTTGAAGACGAGTCAGATACTTAGTGGAGAAAGCCGCCGCATCCGAGGATCTAAGAATCGCATCCAACATTTGCGGTGACATACACAATGCTGAGGATTGCGTGGCCACGTTATGTTGATCAGGAAAAGACATCGAGTCGAAGTCATGACCAGCTTGAGGGGCAGCGACTCGCCGATAGCCCTCTGTGGCCCAGTCTGTTTTGTACCAAATTCTGTCATTGGGCTGCGCACCGTCTTGATCAGGATTTGGGACATAGAACTCCTTCCACTCTCTGTATGTGTGAGGCGGAGGTGGAGCATCATGTTCTTCCTGTGGAGTCCATGATCCCGGATGAAAGATCTTGACCCACTGGGCATCTGGTTGTTGAGGATCCGGACACTCCAGCCACGGCATGACAACTCAAACCCTTGATGACAGATTGATAGGTGTACGGCTGCAGACAGCTATTACTACATGTGTCACAACATCAAACATGCAAGCAAACACTTTTGTAGCGAGGCACGGCTCAGGTGTCGAAGTCACTCGCCTCAATCAAATTGAATTGAATATCCAGAAAAGACGAGGACGAGCATCAGCCACCATCTGAGTTCGAGGATGCCGGCGAAGAGGTCAGTCCAGCGTACATGAGGTCTGGTGATCCCGAAGCGAAAACTGGACGTGCAATGTTGGGGTGCGGATGGCCGAGCCGTTGATATCCTCTGGTGACCCAGTCACGATACTGCCATGTATAGAAGGACGCATATGAGACCGGCTGAGAAACTGAGCCCATGTTGGTGCCGCCCGTGCTGTCCCTAGGCCAATACACTTTTCGAAGTGGTAGACTTTGCGCCATTCCCGATAGGTGGTTGAGTCCTCCGGGGCAGGTCCCAAGGTGTTTTCGGCAACTGGTTGCCACCAGGTACATAGACCCGAATCCATTCAACGCTTGTGCTCGCAGGGCCATTGACGATGTCGTACTCAAAGTAGCGTGGCAGGGTCCATCTTGCAGCGCCATATATTGTAGAATTGAACATATCATCCAGGGAAGCCGCTCGGGGTCAAAAGGGAAGCGGCAAAAACATGAAGACGGAAAACACAACACAATCCAAGACAACCCAACTTGATGCCGCAATCAACTCAGGCACACTCGCATTATTTTAACCGACATGTTGCTCAAGTATCAATCCGAATCGTTCCAAGGATCATAGAATGGCGGCGGTGAAGGTTCCCGCCACGCCCCATCCGGAACTGATGACTCCACCGAGGAAGTAGCTTCTACATTCACGAGCGCCGCCGATCCAATGGCTGGTAGAGGAACGCCAAGACGTTGATACCCTCGTGTTTCCCAGTCTCGGTACTCCCACACGTGGTAGGACACATACGAACTGGGCGTGACATTGGGGTCCGCAGCTGTTCCTCCGCTGCTGTCTTCGGGCAAGTACACGTCAAAGTGATATGACTTGCGCCACTCCCGATACGTGGAAGCGTAGTTTGGGGCACGAACCAGAGTATCTGTGGCTACGGGTCGCCACGTGCCCGGTGTGTAAATTCGAATCCATTCCACTCCTCTCTCGATGTGGTACTCGCAATAGTGAGGGTTCATAGCGGCAAGACAGGTCGTCGCGGGGCCACTGAAAGAAATCGTAAATCTGCGGCGAAGACACTCATGCCATGACAACCTGACGCAACAAGAGTGTGTTGAACAACGCAATGCAAGGCAACTTTTCAAACTGAAGGCGGGACACATCCACAAGGTCTATAGTATACGACACCTATGCTTCACCGCCGCTGATGCCGCACACACCTGCAATGATAGTGTCCTGGTCGGCGACGAGCACAGGGAGAAAGACATTTCCGTCCATGACGTAGGAAGGCATGACAGTAATGCTTGCAACTTGTCAATGGGGACAGCGATGGACGGGTGGCTCGTTTTGAAGGGAACACGGCGAATGGTCGCCGAGATCTCCGCGGTGCAGAAGCGGATGCTGTTCGAGAGCGTTTCCTTGAACGCCCTAGACTGCGTAGATCATCATCACGGGACTGGTCAGTGCTGCATATCGAGCGGCGTGTGCGCTGCGATTTCACTGTGGCAGGGCAGGATTGTCCTCGGGGAGAAGGGCTCGAGGAGGCACGCAATGAGGGCATAAACTGTGGGTGTAGAATCACCGGTGGTGGTGGCGGTGGGGGAGGTGGAGGTGGGAGAAGTATTGGAAACCTTGGCGGGGGCGGAGGTGAAGCAGTCCATCGAATTGGTCTGTCAAGCAAGGTGCCAGGCCCGTGAAACTGTAACCACGTCGGCTGCGCTCCATGGGTCCAAGTGATGTATGTCTGCACATCTTGCTCCGACATGATTTGAGCAGCTCAGCCATGCATGAAATCCAAGTCATCAACAACATCCACGACAGCAAACAATGTCTTCACTGGTCGAAATGTCAAGTAGGTCCGTCAAGTCAGTATTGCAAAGCATGCCAGCCATGTCATGCAAACAAGCAAGCAAAGAATCATGCGATCTGCCATGACTGCAATCCAAACCATCACGACAACGTGCAACGCTCACCGAATGCACTGCCACGTCCTACGAGCTGGTCCTCCGGTAGTCACTGGTTCTTTCGATGCACGGTGCCCTAAGCGCGAGCCTCAAGTTGCTGGTAGACCTTCCAGGCCTGCTTGACTTCCTCAATGGGCTTCTGAAGGAAACGAGCAATGGCTTTGTAGGTGGGCCTGGAATCCTTGTCCTTTTTCCGTAAAAGGTTCACGGTGTGCATTGCGAAGGGCAATAGTGAATTCTTGTAGAAGTTCCCGAGGTCCATGAACCACCGTGCGAGATGGACGGAACGATGAAGCACCTGGATGTGGACGAACTGAACCATCCGAATCCGAATCAGGTGTGGTAGGCGATGTCTGTCCTGGTTCGCGTCTGTGGGGGTAGGGGAGCAAGAGGCCTTGGCGGTGGCAATCGATCCAACATTGAGTCTGGACGGCGACCAGAAATGCTGTCAGCGGCATCCCGATGTGCCGCACGAGGCGGGGATAAGGCCGGTATATACCAGGTGGAGGAAGTATCCAGAGGCCGGGTTCGAATTCAAGTAGGAGAGCGAGATCGATCGGACGAGATGCGGTTTGTGATGATGCGAGGGCGCAGTCCGTGCCTGGAATTCCGTGGGG